AATCGCAATAAATGTGAGGCGCACGAATGAGGCGGGAAAATGTAATGATGACCAAAAAGGTGTGCGCGTTCTGACATCAGTATTGGGGCACGCGAAGCCGCCTGACCTATTTCGACTTTTCCAATTCAAGACCAAACACGCCGATTAACTACCGTCAATGGGGAGTTCGGGGGGCAATTGTATTAACCTTGGCTTGTGAACCACTATTTGGTCTCTGGAAGAAAGGAAAGAAGTTCCGATAGGATAATCGTTGTCAATTCGCTTTTGAGCAGATCAAGTTGTACCTTCATCATCCACCTGTGTTGTCGCTGTCAGGGCTAGGAAAGCCCTTGATTTTGTATCTGTCAGTAACAGACACCACAATGGGATACATGCTTGCTCAGGAATCTAAGGATAGGGTGGAGAAAGCCATCTACTACTTGAGCAAGAAAATGCTAGATTATGAGACCCGTTACATCCCATTGGAGAAAGCTTGCTTAGCCTTGGTATGGGCTACCAATAAGTTAAGGCACTACTTGTTAGCTCACTCCGTAATTCTGGTTTCAAGATTAGATCCCATCAAATATCTCTTTGAGAAACCAGCGCTTATGGGTAGGCTAGCTCATTGGTTTCTTCTTCTCTCCGAATTTGATTTGAAGTATGTCACTCGCAAGTCGGTCAAGGGGAGAGCGGTAGCAGAGTTCCTGGCAGATCACCTAGTGAAATGGGATGACGTGGTAGAATACTTGTTCCCAAATAAAGCTATTTTGCAAGTTGAGGAAGAGATTTGGACAATGTACTTTGACGGAGCGTCTAATCAATACGGTTATGGGATAGGTGTGTTGTTGATAGCACCCGACAATTCCCATATACCCTTAGCCTTCAAACTCCAGTTCAAGGTATCTAATAACAAAGCAGAATATGAGGCGTGTATCGCTTGTTTGGAAGCCGCCCTGGAACTAGGGGCAAAAAGGTTGGACATAATCGAACCTAGTTGTGTCTCAAGCGAATGGAGATTGGAAGGTCAAAGAAGAAAATATGAAAATTTATCACCAGACCCTTGATGTTCTGATTCCTAGGTTTAAAAAGCTAACTTTCACGCATCTATTAAGAGAGACCAACACATTCGCTGACGCCTTATCAATTCTATCTTCTATAATAGACATCCTGCTTGGAGTCCGGATGCATCCAATCATCATTGAGCAGAGGTATCGCCGGCCTACGAGACTATCGCCACAATAGAGGAAGAACAAGATCAAAACCCTTGGTTCTATGATATCTGGAACTTCTTGGAAAAGGAGGTTTATCCACCAGGGGCAAATACCAAAGACAAAAGGGAAATACAGCGAATGGCCGTTCAATTTATCATCTGCGGGGGTAAACTGTACAAGAGAGGTCATCTAGGAATGCACAAGTTGTGTGTTGAAGCGGAAGAATCAAAGCGCCTAATAGAGGCCATCCTTGGGGAAGAGTGCGGAGCACACATGAACGGGGTAATGTTAGCCTAGAAGATTCTCAAGCAAGGTTACTACTGGTCTACTATGGAGGAGGATTGTATTAGCTTTGTTCGTCGATGCCATAAATGCCAAATTCATGCGAATCGCATGAACACCATGTCGAAGCTGTACAACGTGACTTCACCATGGCCTTTCTCTGTGTGGGGAATCGACGTCATCGGCGCAGTCACACAGAAAGGGTCGAATGGGCATGAACACATTCTGGTGGCAATTGATTACTTCATGAAGTGTGTGGAAGCTCAGTCCTACGTAGTGTTAAAAGCAGCGCATGTGGCAAAGTTCATCCGGAACAACGTCATTTGTTGATATGGAGTCCCAAACGAGATCATTTCAGATAATGGTTCCCATTTCAAGAAAGAAGTGATTGACTTGTTGAAGAAATACAACATGGCTTTCCATAAGTCATCTACATACCGATCGCAAACCAACGGAGCTGTCGAGGCCGCCAACAAGAACATCAAGCATATTTTGCAGAAAATGGTTGAGACTTACAGGGACTGGCCAGATAAATTTCCATTCGCACTCTAGGATATAAAACTTCAATCTGTACGTCTACATGGGAAACTCCTTGCTCTCTTGTCTATGGGATGGAAGCTGTTCTTCCAATCGAAATAGAAGTTCCGTCGTTGCGGGTATACCTGAGTGTCAGATAGTAGAGGCAGACTGGTAGCAGAGCAGGTTCGAAGAACTGATACTATTTTATAAGGGAAGGCTGAAAGCATTGTACCATGTTCAGGATTATCAACGCAGGATTACTTGGGCTTTTAACAAGAAGGTTAAGTCCCGAAATCTCAAAGAAGGGTATTTGGTGCTGAAAGACAACCGAGCTCCTATCTATGACCCTAGGGGCAAGTTCAAACCTAATTGGACTGGTCCTTACATTATCAAAACCATTTGGTCGGGTGGAGCCGTTATTCTCATGGACCTGGATGGCCTAGAATTTTTCCAACCGATCAATATGGACATGTTGAAGAAATACTATCGATGAGAGGCTCGCTAGGGCGAAAACCCTGAAGGGCGACCTAGGCAAAAGTTAGAGTACAAAAATTAGAAATAAAGAAAAATTGAGCTCGCAAGGTTGAAAATCCTAAAGGGCGGCCTTAGCAAAAGTTAGAGCGCAAAAGGAGAGTGTTAATACTCGAGTAAACCCGAATTGAATTACGTAAGGCCTAATTCCCATCTTCGGGATATGTAAGCAACTTCATCTTGAAGTCCAGCCGTAAACACCTCTAACTCAACTGTCATGTCCATGTGTCTGATCAGGTCATCTTTGTTTGTTCTTTATTTGAAAGTTCGGTTGTGATCTTTACCTTAAGAGAAGAGGTGGTTACAGTGTTGAGCAGTGTTATTCAATCAAGGGGCAATCTATGGTCTTTGGATTTGGGGTTGTACATCTCAAGGATTGATTTCGTGCGTGTTAAGTGGTGATCTTTATCGAAGATGGTTTTGAAAATTTTTGATAAAAGTTGATTTTGTTCAAATTTTACCTTTTACAACTTAGACCATTTTTGGACCAAAAGGAAAACTTTCAGTGCTCACAACTTTAATTTCATTGATTTCAATACAAAGTTCTCCAACTCTCGATATAAATCAAAGTTGTTATTATTACATTCATAAAGCTTGAAAGCTAAGATCAAAGCAATAAACTAGGGGCATAGATGAGTCAGGTGCTCCTGCGTCCCCCGTTTGTTCTTGTGAAAGCTTTTGATGCTAAGATGGGCCCGGTTTGTGCTTGATCCTCGAGTCAAGTCAGGCACTCGCCAGAAAGGGCGCAGCTAAAACTAGGGGCAGGAGCCAGAAGCTCTCTTGTCCTCCAAGCAGTGAGGTACCTAGCCAAATGTGAACCTCAGATGGGGAATGAAACCAGGTACTCTACCCCCTCCTCTGGGCAAGTCTGATCATGTCCAAACTGATGCTTGAACCGGAACAGAAAGTAGAATACACAGTATGTCAGGCCGATCAAATGAATGCCAGGGTGTTGAGTCATGTTGTAGCTCATTTTGGTCAGATTAAGCCAGGGGCAACTCCAAGCAATGTCAGCAATAGACCTGTTGCACATCCAATGGCACCACCATCCCTCATTCGGAAAATCCACTAGTTGTTGGCAGAAAAAATATGCTCGAGCTGAGTATACGGAGAAAGAGTCCACTACCTTTAGCTTGTCCATAAGCCACACCTAGAGAGGGATGAAAGAAAAGAGAGACTAAAGAATAGAGAGATGTACGTTGAGAGAAAAATGAGAAACGGGCTTTGAGAGAAAAATAGAGCATGAGTATCGAGAGATGTGAGAAACACATATTAGAAAGCCAAAACTAGGGGAAAGAAGGAAATGTGCTAGCATAAACAAGCAAAGGGTGTGTTGCTGAAAACCCCGCCAAAGAAGGTCGCTGCGGTCACCAACGTTAGAAAATCGATGAATCAAACTGGGAATATCAAGCTCTCCATTGTGAACCAAAGATTGAGCCTCATAAAGAGTGAGTCCACACATCTGTCCCAAAGCTTGGATGTGGCCGAAATAAGGCTGAGGTATGATTTCCTCATCGCGTCGAGATTCCATTAACGCCTGAAATTCTTCGATTGTTGGGCATATCTCTTGTCTCCCGAAACTAAAGACGTGTGTAATCGGGTTCCAGCATCTAGCTGCAGCATGAAGGAACAAAAAACAAAGCAGAGAACGGCTCAGTAGGAAAAGTGCATTTATGCCAAAACCCCAGAAATTCACCTTTTCCGAGCCATCTAAAGTTGTAATTCAATCCGAGAGTTTTTCGACGAAAAATGGCTCAATTTGTGAAGAATTTGTAGCTGAAATAAAGAAATCACGTAGCTCAACCTTTTGTAAAAGATAAGGCAGTGGGTGGAAGCCAAGTGTCAACAGTCTGGAGGTCCTTCACATTGATGGCCAACAGGTGGCCGGCCGGTAGCCGGTAAGCCCCATTGGTGGCCGGCTGACCATCTCTCATGGCCAGCAACCTCTGTTTGTGGCCAGTAGTCTCTCACTCTAACTTGTTGTCCTTTTTTGTGCTATAGAATGTTGAAAGCATGTGTTTTGTTTTAGTCTTCGAGTGTCTTGAGGTCTTGTCTTGAGTGCTTTTGGTTTTTAGCAAGTTTGTTGAGTTTGTATTTGTGTTGTTTTGTTTTGTTTACCGAGTTGTAGTTGTGTTGTCTTGTTTTGTTTATCGAGTTGTATGTTGTTTTGTTTGTCAAGTTGTATATTGCTTTGTTTGTTTTTCATTTGTTGGTCGGTTCATTACCCGATTAATTTTTTTGTTTCAATCAAGGGTGCTCTTGGCCAATTCAATTCCATGTCCATTTCATGCTATATGGTGTTCATGATGCAAAATACAACACTTTTTCATAAAAACTGTTTTCATTCCGATCATGGTTGTTTTTACAAAAGTTGAGTACAAGTTTTTAAAGCAAATAAAACCTGTCTGAGGCTACAATGTGCTAATGCTATAAAAGAAAAGAAACTAAGCAAAAATACAAAAATCAGCGCTAGTCATCTCAAGCTCGAGAGGCCCTCTTCGTCCTCTTTCTCAGAGGAGAAGACTCTGGGGCACTGTCTCTGTCAGCGTCGTTATCTGAATCTGAACCAGAACCTGAGCCGGCATCATCTCCACTCTTTGCTCCAGTGCCCTCCTCGGCATCATCATCTTCACTCTCAGATGACTCCGAATGCTGACTCGCTCCCTCCTCAAAGTCGCTCGTCTCTGCATCATCATCACTCAAAATGGGCTCTGAAGGACCGCTCTCAGCTTGGATGCCCCTAGCTCTACCTCGGCTACGTGCTGGAGTCTGTCTCTCTTCCTCCCTACTGCCGGTGCAGGTGCTGCAGTTGTCACCGGTGTTATCAATATGGGTGGAATCTGAAAAAATAGTTGTCACATATCAGTTACGGTATATATATCAGATGCAAGCATGATGTGCAGAATGAGTGTATGCAGAAGTCAGATACAGTATATGAGTACAGTATGTGAGTACAGTGCGTGAATGTAGTATATCAGATGCAGTGTATCAATGTAGTTTGGGAAGTTTTTCAGTTGAAATGTCAATGTCAGTGGGTCAGTGGAAATTTGATCCATGGAATGTAAAATTGAAGAAATTACCTGAATACCGTAGAGGCTGAACAACGCCTCTCTCCTCTGTACCATCCCCATCAGGGAGGTTATCAGCTCGAGAGCGCCTCCTGTATACTCGATGGATGCTTGTAAATGCAGTTTTAATGATTAGTATCTGCAAATGAACATATCTTAAATGAAATGTGGCGTGCAAATGTAAAGTGTGGTTCATACCTGAGTCGAGCCTCGGACCCCGACAAGCTCGTGACCAGCCATCGCAGGCTCAATCAGAACCTGGTAGGCGTCCCCAGTGTGTCGCCAGCAAGTCAGCGTGGTAGGAAGCTCTAGCCAATCAGTCCTCTGTCTCGCCTAGGAATCCCCTCTGTCACGAGCCCTACTCGCCCGGGTCACTCTAGGCCTTTGTCTCACAACAGGAGCTCTCGCCTCCTCATCTCCATGAATGCCAGTCAGAAGCGGCATCAAATATGTCTGGATGAAGACTGAATAGTCACCCTCCACTCAGAAGTAGTCGGCGTCCAGGCCTACCTGTAGCTCGACTTTTTCGCGCCCCCTTTCGAAGAGCTCAAATTAGTCCTACACACTACAACAAAATTGAATTTTTACGGCTTACAATGCATGCCATAAAAACTCTTTCACGGCATGCACACAAATGCTGTTATATGACATGCTGCGGAAAGTTAAGCGTTATTTATGGCATGCAAGTGAAGTTGTAAAAACTAATAAATTAAATATTAATGACATACTTTGTATGTCGTACATAATTTTTTACGACATTTTTCTCGTGCCATAAATCATCATACTTTCCATGGCATAATTTTGCATGCCGTAGAAGGTTATTTTAATATATTTATAGCATACTTTGTATGCCGTATATAATATTTTACGACACTTTCTTGCATGTCATAAATCATCACACTTTTCACGACATAATTTTGTATGCCGTAGAAGGTCATTTTTAATATATTTATGACATACTTTGTATGCCGTATATAATCTTTTACGGCATTTTCTTGCATGTCATAAATCGTTACGCTTTTTATGATATAATTTTATATGCCGTAGAAGGTTATTTTTAAAATATAATATATATATATACAGGAATATAACATTGCCTAACAGTATGCAGACAATAGCTTATAAAATGCAACCTGTGAACAAACCAAGCAGAAGTAACAACTATGAAGTAAGTAAAAAAAAATCTAATATCCATACACCAAACAACTTGCATACTAACTTCTATCCTCAACTTCTATCATATCAAGCTGAAAACAACCTCAAACATACAAACCAAGAAAAATATCCAAATCATAAGATTCACTAATCTCTAAAATACGACCTTAAACAAGCTGATAACAACCTCAAACATACGAACCAAGAAAGTGATACATCATCAAGCTATACAAATCCCTATCATCCATGAAGGGTACAATTTTAGAGACAAAATTGTATTCCCTAGGATAATATTGAGATGTCTATTTTTTATTTTTATTTTTAATTATTTACATATTTTTGAACAAAATCTCAAACTTTCATTACCTTGACAGCTTGTCACATGGTAATGTAATTGGTGGACTCCATCAACTTTGAGTCATACTCTGCAAAAAACTAGCAGCATAAATTATGGAGAATATCAAGTTGAGTCTCTTTACTGAAAAAATAATATTGTTAATTGGTCATATCTTTGTACCACATGCATTCATATGGTCTTCGAGTCAAAATCCAATTAATTTGCAAAAGCAGCTGAAGCAACTGAAGCAAAGGAGGAAAATCTTAATTCTGTGAACTGCAACTAAAAGAATGAGGTATAGATGAAAGGATGAAAGCATCACTAACTTAATGGAAAATAAGCATAATACATGATTTTCAGAAGGAATGAGAGAAAACTGAGAAAAGAAGAGCCATCAAATCAACCCACAAAATTATGTCATCACACAAGGCCACAAATATATAACAACATAGAGAATTTCCATATTTGAGGTAAGATAGCTAAAGCATGTAACCTGGGTATGAAGCTTTGCATTCATTGAGTGGTATAAAAACTTACAAGGGCTTTCAGGAAGATTACAAGAAAGAAATTTATCCAAAACTTTTCTAATTAGAATTCACAAAAAATAAATAAATAAAGAGAGAGATCTCACCTTATAAGTCATAATGAGATTCTGCAAATTGTGGATGTCCAACACGAAGTGATGGATGATGATGACACATTCACAAAGTTCCCTGTAGCAAGGCACTATATCCAAATTCAAAAGACCCAGTCATAAAGATGTTGGTCTAATATTAATGTTCAAACAGAGTCCCTGGTATTCTAGCAACAGTTCCCTAATAATATAGAAATAGGTATTCTAACACATTTAAAATGGACAACCTTCAATCATCAAATGCAATTATAGGAATTCAACAACAATGTCAAAGCACAAATAACCTTCAGGATTAAGAGATCAACACCCTTGAATTTCCAAAATAAGAATCAATACCGCAAAACGCGATAACTGAATTCCATTAGTGTTCCATCTAACCCCCATTGCTTTGCAAACCATACAAGACAGTGTTGGAGGCAGCTCACAGTCATGGAATTTTTAACATCTAAATGTTAATTCCTTTTTATTTTTATTTTTTTATGTTTTTGGAATTTGATAGTTTGGACTTTTGAGTTAATCTGTCACCCTTCCAAGTCTTCCTAGGTCTATAGCTTCAACTATTGTTTATTTATAGTGTAGGCTTTTTCTCGTACTTCTCTGAGCTTTATAATGGGCTCTGTACTGCGCTCATGTAAGACTTCATCATTGTGTCGCCACCATCTCTATCTTTAATATGAATTGATGTCAAACAGATCCCTCTCTCTTTTAGTTACAATTTTGAAATGGGCTATTCAAAGTAACTAAATGAAAAGGAAGGTATTATCTTGTTGACCTCAATGAGTTGATAAAAGCCTAGTTGAGCTGAGTTTTTTGTAACTTGTGATCCCTTACTATAGTATAATCTCTCTTTCCTTCTCTTAGAGGCATAAATAATAATTAATTGTACTTACTAACTTAATCTAACCTATGCTAAAGTGCTTCCTATGTTACATGCATCAAGTATTGTGCCTTTAGCAGGTTGTGTTATTCATCATTTATGTCTCTGGTTGGATGCATTGGCCTGTGCACAAGTCATGCACTGATCAGTTCAAAATCTGTATTTCATCTAGTTTATGATAATTGTTTCCTATTAATTTGTTTGGATAATTAGGGTCTTGTTAATCACTCAGCTTCTTTCAGTTGCGTCTTTTCTTCCAATTTGCAACTGTTATTGTGCTGTTCATGAAATTTATCAATCGGCAATTTATTGTTCTGATCTATTTATTTCAATTTTTATGCATGAGGTTCGCAATTACAGCCCACCTCCCGATATTAACAATAGTATTAAGGTCAGTGTGGTACTACAATGTCTTTTACATTCGCACTAACTGATCTTTCCTGACCAGTGGCCATTCCGAAGGGTAGACAAGAGTCTATGGCTGGGATCAGGGTGCTTCTAGTGTTGGCCTATGCAATTATAGGGAGAAAAAGAAAGGAAAGGAAAAAAGAAAAAAAAGAAAAAAGAAAAAAAAGAGAGCATTATATTATCTACATTATGCCATGCTTCATATTCATGAGAAATTATGTATTAGATGGGGAAGCATAAACAAAGTTAGCAACTCTAAT